CCCCCAACCTCCACCCCCTGTCCCCCCGTCCCTCTCCGTCTCACCCATTCTGTCTTTTTGTGCAGTTACATTAGTTTCATAACTGTAACCTCAGGCTGATTTGGGTTGGAAAAACCATAAACTTCACATTTACACCCAGTCTAACTAGATCCAGATGCTGCTGCTGCTAATAAGCAGTAAAACCATGTTATTAAAAAAAAAATTACATTTTTTTTTTATACATTTTACTTCCAAGCAAATATTGTTCACAGAAGTGGCTGTTCGCTGTGAGTTGTGTGAAAAGCGGAGACGTTGACAGGATGCCGTAGCCTGCTGGAAAAGACAGAGGGATGGAAACCCCCATCCTCTTTGCACCAAAGCTGTTTTTAATCCCCATACCCTGGAAAAAAAGGGAGCATTTGTTTGTATGTTTGTGTGTGTGTGTGTGTATGTCAGCAGAACCAGGACCAGGTGACCCAGTCTGACCTCACCCAGCCAGGTCTCATAAAAGCAGCATTGAGGCCTGGAGGCCCAGAAACACAGCACGGCTTTTGTTGTCCTACCCAAGGTGTATTCCCCCTGGAGGGGAGTGTGAAGGGTGGAGGCGGTGGTGTTACTCATTAGAGAGAAAGAAATAAATCCTTGGCTTGGGCACACATTATTACATCGTTTATTATCAGTGGAAATGAAACTCTCTCTTTATTCTTCTGTACGTTTTCCCCCCCCCCCAACAATCCAGCTGCTTTTCCGCCTCCTCCCATGCTGCCTCGCCACAGCTCCTTCTTTCTCTTATTAATCCACTCTCCAGTATGGCTCTAATTAGTAGGTCTGTTCACATCTTACACATGGCTCGCCAGATGCTTAAAACACCCTCCTATGTTCTCTCTCCCCCCCTCCTCTTCCCCTTTTCGTCTGTCTCCCTTACATCTTTTTCCATTAACATTTTTTTCTTTCACTTTCAACACTTTTTTTTGTGTGTCATCTGGCTTTTATACTGGTGTTTTTGGTCTTTGAATTTTGATTGGTCTGAGTCAACTCCAAACTCAAACGCAGCATCTGCAGAAGGATCCTCTGTCCTATATTTACTCCTTCATTCTTCAAGGTCAATTGCTGCCTTCAATGGGGCTTCAGTGTGTGTGACGAACGCTCTGGGTTTTCTACTGATTACTTGCCCACAAACATGATGAAAGTCACAGCACATCTGTGTGTGTGTTCACTCCCGCAGCCTTCGTGTCTGGGCTCGTACCTGGGTTCTGGGTTTACAGGGATACCTGTAAACGTTTGTTGTAACTGGAACCACTCCAAACCGGTGTGTGATTTTATTTCGGCTTCGAACATTTTTTTTTATTATCGTGAAACACAAAAGATCTTTGTGAGGAGAGTTGTGGGGACTCTCCGTGACCGACCCTCACCGTGGAGGAAAACCAGCAGAGCCAAGCAATTACAGAAAAAATGTCAATATGAGAAATGTGGCTTTTAAGAACAGCGTTGACTGTGCTGACGATGTGGCTTCGTGTGGGAATGTGTGATATGCGCCGTATAGGCAACAGGGTGGGAAGAAACATCTGCTGTACTAACGAGAGGAGTTCTGTTCTAACAACAGAATTTAACAACATTTTAAGGGACCTCTGTCACTGTGATGTTTAAAAGATTATTGGTGTCTTATTCTCAAAAAGTAAACAATGAATTATTTCACTGCGGCCCGGTACCAATGACTCACGGACTAGTACCTGTCTGCGAACCAGAAGTTGGGGACCCCTGTTCTGATCACAAACTCTTTCAAATGTTTTGCCTTTGGTGGATGTTCCTTTAAAATGTATTTTTCTCACCATCTATCCATCCATCCATCCATCCATCCATTCATCCATCCATCCATTTTCGTTCACTTTACTGTTTCCGTTACCGGGTCGCGGGGGAGGCAGTCTCCACGACCGCCACCCAAATCCTGCGGGTGGTGGTTCTGTCTTGACCAGGAGGTTCTCGTTTTTATCACCTCAACCTTTAATCTGCTAATTAATTAAACAGACAGACAGGAAGTTACTTTGAAGTTAAGTTAAATTAACTTTTCAGAGTCAACTTGTTAGATGTGCTGTAATTTGTGAATTTGTTTATATTGGAGATACCTTCCAAAATATATTGAAGATGACTCCACAACTCAATCTACTTGTTTCCTTCAGTGAAGTCACTCAACAACTGATTTACTGAAAACTAAAAAAATATAAAAAAAACACACAACACTCTGGTTGTGTTCTGTTAAAATACAAGTTGACGTAAATCTGACAGGTCTGGGTGAATATGATGGTTGTTAGATATTTGTGTAATCAGTGTTGGTTGGAGCTGATGTGTACTGGAGAAACAGACGATGAAAACCCCATGGCGGGGCTCTGCTGGGAGTAAATAGGAACGGGCTCTGGAAAGACATTGTTGGCGCTGAATATTTGAAAATACATTACTGAGCGGCAGGAGTGTAAAAACCGCTGCGACTGCTATGAACAAACATTCACACATCAGCGCGGTGTTGAGACCAATATGTCAAAAACGTGTGACTGCATGATGTCGACCATCGATGATGAAAGGCGTGTAAAAGGCTTGATGTGTTACAGTGACTTTGTGTATGTGTGTGTGTGTGTGTAGCCGGTCAGTTTTTGTGACCCTGCACATGTGGAACAGTTTTCTTTTAATCAGGTACAGGGTGATCGTGTGCAGCAGCAGCAGCACTGTAATGGACTGGCTCCTGTGTCAGTGAACAGACGGCTACTGTACCATGATGTCCACACTGTACAGAAGACACACCAGGGCTGCAAGTCAATGCTAATGTGATGTATCGAGTATATCATCCAACAGGCAACTGTGTGTGTATATATGTATCCACATATATAAATACATATATAATATATATGTATATATGTGTGTATATATGTATGTGTATATATAAATACATATAAAAA